GCACCCCTTCCGATCAACAAACGCATCATATCTTCATTCCCGAAAAATGCGGCCCAATGCAGCGCAGTCAGCGAAGAAGACACGGGGAAACGTTCCGTATCCACTTCGTCACCATACCAGTCTTGATAGAAGTCAAAGCCGGTTCGATCAGGGGCGTTGACATCTGCGCCTGCTTCAAGAGCTTGCAGTACCACATTAGACAATCCGCACTTAGCTGATAGGATTAATGCCGATGAGTAATTCTCTCGGATGTCGTGTTTGAAAATGGCAGGGCTGATTATTTTGTGCAGTTTCTTGCAAGTCCTTGCAAGACGAATGACATCTCGTTCTCGGCTGAAGTTGGAGTAGCAAACGGATTGTTCCTGGCAGTTTTCGTCTTTGCAGAAGCTTGTCTCGGTCCTGTTGTACCCACTAGAGCCCCTGTCTCCGAACATCACGTCGACGATGAGGAGGAGAATCTCCGGCGGCATTTCTTGCAAGGCAGGTCGAGGCCTTTCTCTTTGGTGGGTTGTTGTTGTGTATTCCATGGTGCCTGCTGCGCAAGCCGACTGGGATTTGTTGTCATCCGATGCAGTCATGTTGGTCCCCGCCGTCGGTTGGAGGAATGTTGGCTGATGCTGCTTCGCGAAAACGAGTGACTGGAAGCAAAGAAGGTTGTGTCGGAAAGCGTTTGCTGCGTTGCTGTGTTGGGAAAATTGAGGGGGTTGTCTTGAGTGTTAAGACAAGGAAGGTTGGGGGTTAGGCATATTATGCATTGCGGCTGCAGGTTATCTCCGAAAGAACTGCCGCTTTGTTTGGTCAGTTGTACCTTGTATTACCTACTCTGTATATGGGCAGCGCCATGACCGCAATGGCCACATTCATTAGTACATCCTACAGGGCAGGTTGCAGCATTCCATGCCCTCTCATGCGATGGACCAGTCAAAAGTTACAGACCAGTCAACCACACAAAGGAGGCAAACCAGATCAGTAACGTCGCTTGTTGCACACCCGGCGAGTTCATTTTGGCCCTGGAAAGCTGAAAGCAGAGCGACTGTTGCTTGACGGGAGGGTGGCTTTGGGAAGCTGCACCCTGTTCATCGAACTAAAATTCCTCTTCTTCTTTTTCTTTTCTCTTTCCAAGTTTTGTCTTTGACGCCTGGTTTCGAAAGCTTCCTCCAGTTGGTGTGCATCCCCTCTGTCAGACATTCCTAGTATGCTTGAGTGACGATACACTTATGATGTGAGAATTGGCACGCCTTCTGAGCTGCATTTAGTGAGATTGCCCCTTTGCTACATGGCAATTTCTAGCCTCCAAAGTGAAACTACGTACACGATGGATCATGCTGAGGAATGTACTCAATTATCAGGAAGGAACAGAACAGCTGAGAATTCCTATGTGTTCAATACCAATGCACATCATGAGACATTTCGCACAATTGTGGTAATGTATCACAGGAAGGTGGCCCAAAAAAAAAGCAAGCACCACTTCGCAGCCATGCAGGTGAGAAGTCCATGTATGTTTGCACTTGGCAGGTGATCTTTACCCGTGTGGGCCAGCATGGGGATGCCAAACACTCAGTGTAGCCGCCAACCAACCTTGGGGGCTCCTGAAGCGATTGGATCCAGCCAGGTTACCAAGCCCACGCTCATGCAATCGAACATATCTCGGGTGGTTTAGGCAGTGGAGACGTTCTGAGTTGCGGCTCGTCTTTTTTGGCGAGTTGGTTTTGGTCATCCCACCCTCATCTGTTTCCAGTGTACCCAGAGCAGCATGTGCTCTTAGATCTCCTTCACATCATATCATCGAAATAGCCTCAAGTACGCGATCATGCATAAAAATTCATCCGTCGAACTAAGTCCAATTCAAGGCCACTTTTGCGGCGCGTGGTGTGCAGTGTCAAAGTTGCAGTGAAACACAACGCCATGATCCGAGACAACGCAACTTTTCCAGGCTTCATCTATCGTTTCTCCAGCCGCAAAAAACAACCAAATGAGTGTTTCCCTGAGAGGGGCTTTTGCCGCCCTCCTCCATCTCCTGGCGTTGCAATCCGCGGGGCCGTTGCTGTGCACTCATTGGTAACTCGATAACGGGAAGCTTCCGCGTGGCCAAAAGCTTTCTCACTGTTGATGACCGACACAATCTAGCTGATGGACTAGTAAAGTGCACTGCCGTTAGATCAATAACCACACTGCGACTACCCGCGAGGCGGTGCAGATCGACCAAGCGGTGAAGCACTAGATGCCAATCGCTGTTTTTTTCAGAACGCCAGATGCCCAAACTGACAGCTCATATCTAGCATTTTGCATCAATGCACATCGGCATAAAATGCACCAATCTCACGATATCTAAGGTCTTACACAAGCAGTTCTTAGCTTATGCAACGGACAAACTACGCGAGGCGCTGCGATCAAGGTACGTGATCCTCTAAAAGCGGGGTTGACCACAAAATACTCTGTATCAATTTGTGAAGTTGGCACATTCAGCAAACGGAGATGGGTCCTTCCACAAGGTCACGAAGCGTATGGGGAGCCTGGATGGACTATTGTGAACATCGAATTGTTCAATAGTGGGCTATCTGTTGCTCGAATGATAAGTTCTGCCACGGCACAAGAAAGCAAATGTTGCCCAGGAATAACCATGTGCTGAGGCACTGGATGGTGAAGCCAGTCTCCAGCGAGACCTCCGGAGCGAGTGACTCTCATGCCAGCCGCGGCCCTTGTTGTATCACCCACCGCCCTCAATCGCGCTTACCTGACCTGCGTGCGCGTCTAGTACTCTTCTCGTAATACCGACGTCTAGCAACAGGCGAAGGTTTTTGCCGAGCACAGATGTGGACACATTCATCCATGGACGTGTTGACCGGAGCGCGCCAATGATTAGTCATGCTTCCGTTATGGGCGACCGGCAGGTTCACCACAGTGGTTATAACTGGAAACTTGCCTCCAGGGTTCTTTGTGACCTTGAAAGATAAGGCCAAATAGCAGAATGTCTACTCTGAAGCGCATCAAGCCGTGAAATCTTTTTCTTGTTCACAGAACACTCAAAACCTGGGGGGAGGGACAAGCGGTCATGACCGGATTTCCATCAAGCTCGAGCCGCTTGGACCAGACCGATGTTTTTTCTCAATGCGTGGTCTGGAAACACCGCAAAAGCCTATGGAGACAAGTGCAGTTATTACTATCACGATCTGACCGGCAGATTTTTGTAAGACATATTGGTTGGATTCAACTACACATGATATCTCTCCTGCTTTCTGGTCTGTTTTCTGCACTCAGACGCCCATCGGAATGGGTGCCAGAGCGTCCACCCGCAAGCCATAAGGGATGTCAGGGCGGGCGCAAGGGTCATTTGCAATCCACTGCCAAACCCGTGTGTTCGAGCGGGAAAGTCCCATATCAAATGAAAGCCGTTGTGGCACTTGTTTTTTTCCTCCAAGACAATCATGAATTGTATTCGTCTCGTTCTTCCCCGTTTTTGTTTCCGCAGTTTGCGGTTTTCCTGGTTGCTGCAATTCAGTTGGGCCTGCTTGGGGGATGGGGGAGTCATTCAGCAAGACCCACCTGTACCATTTTCTTGGACATAAGAACACCGGAATGTGACGACTTGAACCCTTCACCTTCTTCTCCCCACTGGCTTTCCACAGGGAATTTTAACGTATTACACCACAGTCGTATCATACAATAATCAACATGGATCAACTGCACAGGTCAAGACTGACATACCAGTCAAGCCTGTGCAGTCTGGATCTTGTCGAAGTGGGACCCTGCCGGTCACAGAACGAAGGCCGCCCATTGGTTAGATCAGCGTTCCCTCCCATCCAGCGCAACCAGCCTGCGGCAGCAACCTCAATTGCGGCGGGACGACAACTTCAATCGCGACGCAGGAGACGACCAGTTTAGTTATTCGCCGCGCGATGGCCACAGAAGACTTCATTGTGCGTTCGCGTTCATTTCAGCGCGTGCGAAATCAAAAATGCTCGCTAAGCTGAGCTTGCGCGTCGGCGCACACTTGGCTCCGATGTAAACACCAGAACCCAACCCGGTTTGTAGAATTTATAACATAACATAATTCGCCCAGATAAATCGAAGTACTTGCTATATATTATCAAATTGGGGCACCGATTGGTTCACTGTGTGAACCGGCTCAAACTAGCATAAAACCAGAATGCCTCCCTGCAGCAACAACCTTTACTATTACGAAGTCACTCCTCAAAGGCGGATACTCGTCTAACCAACTAGATACATCTGAAGACCATAGTTTTCTGGTCTTGATGTCTTTTAGGCATCATTTCCTGGTCAGCACCATAAGGATTAAGCCTCATACGACTTTGTCTGGTTGCTAGACAGATAATGGTGTGATGAGACTGCGACCATTAGTCTTCTTGGCTTTTATCTACCCTTTAGATAGTTCTCACCTGAGAATGGGTTTATCGACGCTGCTTATGCAGTAATGATAAAGCCTTGAAACATGCTACTGCATTACAGTGAGATACCTTGATATCACTTGCTGTGCATTAGATGTAGGGGTATTCCCCATCAAGGTGGAGGTCGACAGATTTTTCAGTCATACAAGTAAACTTCGTTCCTTTATATTTAATGGAGAAAGAACTACGTTGTCAACCACAACATCAACTGAAAAGAATCCATACAACCCATGCAACCCCAAATCTGTTCTAACCGGGGCTTTATTCTATCTCGATCTCAATCTTCAATTTACAGGAGAACTCCTCGCGATGAATAGACCGTCATGTCCTGTGGCTTTCGACAAGTGTTCCATACACCAGTCCGACGAGCACGAACACTTGAAAGCTTGTCTAATGACCCTACCAACGGAGCTCATCATACTAATTACGGAAGCTCTCGTTCATGGCGAAGTCTGGGGGGATTATGATGAAGCAGAATGGCATGCTCCTTATGAGTTTATCGACGACTTACCGAAGCCCTTCCCCTGTGTTAGGGCTGCCGCACGACTCGGGTCGACATGCAAGCGTCTGCGTTACATTACAGACCCCGTCATCATGGGATTCGACATCAAATACTGCTATTCATCTTCCCTTCTTCTTTCGGCAAAACGCGGTTCTGTGAGAGGTGTGGCTAAGGCCCTGGCCTATGGCGCTGACATCAATACCCTCGACCGTACAATTTTTGACTCGGAGTTCAAGGATGGTAATGGCTACGAAGCGCCAACAGTCAAGCGAATACCGACGAATTCAACCCTGACTGCTCTCCACTGGGCGGCCTTCTTCGGCCATGCAGATGTGGTGGCGTTTCTTCTGCGCAAAGGCGCTGATGTAAATGTTAGAGCCAATTTGGGCATGCAATGGTGGCCGACATATGTTTCAGATCCAGATGAGTTTCCCGATCCTCTTTATGGAGGCCATCCTCAGCGCATAATGCTCTGTCCAACACAGGACGATTTTGAACCCTGGTGGAGAGGAGGCTATTATGTTTGTGATGACGCCAGATATTGGATTGGAGCAAGTCCTCTCTTCCTTGCTCTTAAAGCTGTTCAAGACACAGAAATAGAGAGCTCCTGGCGCACTTGGGTCGATTCGTGTGTAGATCCCATCGTCGAAACTGACAACAGTGGGTGCCGGTTGCGCATCGCCCGCATGCTCATCGACGCGAACGCATCTCTAATCACCCGGCTCAGGGGCTCTATTCACGCGATTCATCAGGCCTGCGCATATCGAGACTACGAGGTAGTCCGATTTCTCGTTTGCTCGATAGGTGTGGATGTCTCAATAACAGATCACGACGGGAACTCGGCTCTGCATTATATGGCGATGCATCTGATCTTCAGTCCACAGGTTAACCGTGACAGGTATATCATCCCACATCCGATCGAGCGGCAAAAGCTCATTGTTCGTTTGTTGCTTGACAAAGGGCTCGACTTGAACTTGAAAAACAATCGGGGATTCACGGCCAAAGACATGGGGCTCGACATTATGGACGAAGGGTTGGTAGTGGAGCGTACATCTCACCCTCGTTATCCACGTTCTAGAGCTGCAACGCCGTCGCAAATGGCTGGTAGGAATCTTGCTAGGTAAATCATTCTGAGTTAATGGTGACAGGTGATGAGCCTCTTCACCTTGGGCTTTTGGAACCCACAAGATCTGGTAGATGTGCGTTTGGCTTGTAGCCAGAATAAACTTACGGCTTTCGAACTGGTTAACGAGAGATTATGTTGAGAAGGATCAATAATTAGAGATCTAAGGGGGGCTCAGCTGCTTACAATATTCATTACATTAAATTGCAATAACCCCCACGCCCTTTTGTATTTGGCCTCTTAAGGTTCCATCCTGCTTTGTCGTCCTTCATCCCTACCCGGGCCCTTTCTGTTTATCTTTGTCCCTCGTCACCAGCGTCCTCGAAAACAGGGAGAATACAAAAGACACCTCGAGTGTTTTACAAGACATCATATCCCCCGAGAAATGGTACCGTGGTTCAACGTATTCGAACCGAAGCGCCTCAGCCTTGCATGGAGGGCCCGCCGCCTGAGATCATTCTCATTATTGTCGATATCCGGGGAGGACATAGTGGCGAGTACGAAACCAGCAACGCATACGACGAGAAAGAGACCATCGATACTGGTTGCGACAATATTAAATTCAATCCGGAAAAACAGGAATACAAATTGGTGACCTTATTTAACAAGCTATTCAGAAGTATCGCGGACGCATTGCATCTCGAAGGCCGAATGGATGGGATTGACGTTCACCATGAAAAACCGGACAGATTCCATACTCAGGAATTGAAAGCGACGAATATACAGAGGAGAATACAGACGAAGAGCGCCAGAGAAATGGGGAGACGGACAGCGGAGATACGGGAGTGAGTGAACGAACTCAAGAGAGACTTCGCGATGATGAGGGCAAAGGAAATAGCGAGGAACTAGAGGTATCACATCCACTGTCATATTAATCACCGACCATCTCATCAGCTCCCCAAAAAGAAAAGCGCTATACAAGTTAACGATTTATGTTTCTTTCAGACGAAAGCGAATTTTGCAGTTCAATAGAACCATAGAAGATCAGGGGCCCGACCTAAATCTAAGTGGCAGAGTCTACTAGCACTCAACAGAATTAGATCTTATAAAGAGCTTTGCTAGCTGGGCAGTGTTAGTTAGCGATTCTGGCAGTGTCCACCACACACGCGTGTAATCCATATATCACCTCTGATAACCTACACTATTATCGTCTACTATTGTTGTCGCCGCCGCCGTCGTCGTTGTCGTCGTTGTCTATGATCGTTATTATACTGCCCGTCTAGCAAAGTTCCTCGTGAATAGTAGACCTCGATATATATTCGGCTTACCTGCCTGAGACGGCTCTTGAGCAAGCAGGACAGTAACATCGAGAACACATTTTAGAAGTCATTACATCAAACAGCGAAGAGCTAAGATTCTTGGTCTCTTTATGCCCAAATCATGTCTACATAGTATTGTAGTTCTGTGAAGGACTATCCTAGCGAGTTCCCACAAGTTGAAGAGCCTGAAGCTCGCAATACACGTCGAAGGCGGTATGTCGGGCCTAGTGAAGTTGTGAGCATCGCCTGACAAGCATGAACTAAGGAGGATACTTACTGTCTTGGCTCAGGCTTTAACCACACTTGGCCCAGTTTGGGCACCTTCCTCCAGGGTTGCACACCTCGGCGCAGTTTCCGCTGGCAGGTCGGGGGAGTGCCGCGCATCCAGAAGCATCGGAAGTTCGGTTGCACTCACAGTAGCATGTGCCCTGTGCAACGATGGTGGCAACTTGTGCCGCGATGAGGAAAAGAGCTTGCAAACGCATTGTGAGGATAGGGGTTGGGGACAAGATGGTCAGATGGTCAACGAAAGTCTGAGAATATTGGATCAAAGCCACTTATTGCGATAAGCTAGAGAGAAATGAGCGTGATGAAATTATATCGATCGAGTTCAGTTGACGGAATTCCCGCTTTTATAGATATTGTTTTGCTGGTTTTACAATCGTTGCGATTGAGTCAGCTGGATTTGCGTCTCAGAGTCTTGTTTCTGTAGATATCTACAAGTTGCCTTTTCTGTAGAGTTTAAGCAAGTCGTTAAAAGCCGTGTAGGCTGTACAGCTTGCTGCATAACCTGGACTCGTATCGTGTACGACCCCTACTAGATAACCATGAAGAAAAATGTACGTCTGAGACACCAGGAAACCCATCATTACATGTTACGTCCTGTGCTGTCTGGAAAAGCCTGCGCACAGGACAGCAAGCCTACCGTGACGGCTGCAGGAACTGGCACCAACCCAGACACCAACAATCCTCCTTGTTCCTGGGCCCGGTAAGGGGACTGAGCTCGGAGACTTTAATCCCAGACCGGAGATCGGGCGAACCATTCCCTTGCTCGGGGACTTAAGTCTTTCGATGGGCCTTCGCGGGAGCGCCAAGTTGGAAAAAGCGGCATAGCGTATCCGTAGAGCTGTCTGTAGTTGTTCTGACGTTTGGGTAAACTTTGGGCCAAGTTGCCGATCCTAAGTAATTGGTTAGAAGTCTTTCGTATCACGCCCATACATGGTAAGTCATGAAAACTTTCTTATATTGGGCCGATGGGATAACCAACTAGCCAGCAGCCCGCCGCCTCCGAGTCAGGGGCCCGGTCCACTAATGAAAATGATTAGTTGTATGCAATTTTGTCTACGCGCAAGATAGCTTGCCCTTTCGAGCTGGATAAGGAAAGTAGCTAGAAACATAGGGGAACCCCAAGATCATATAACATGAGCTCTTTGTTTTCGAAATTCGGTCTTGGAGATGGAATAGGATTTGTATCAAACACAGGACACTTACTACGTACTTAATTCCATTTTCGAAAGGTTTCATCCTCTTCCTGCAGCTTACACATCTTCAACATGTTGTTCTCAGAGATTTTCGCTGTTCTTCTTGCGTGCGCCAGTGTCGCGGCTGCGGATTGCCGGACTCAGAGCTACCGAGGCACTGTGTACAGGGACGGCACAGCGGCCGAGTGCACTGGAAGGGCAAGCGCTGTCTGTCAGCCTGGGCAGACTCAGGAAAAGCTGCGATACAGCTACGACGGGGATGTTTACAATGAGGGCAACGGCTGCGCAGTTGCGGTGAGTAACCCGAGTGCTGGGTGGGACATTATTCTGATCAGACATATCTTTAGGTCACTTGCTGCACGAAGTAATTGACATGAACGTCAAACGCCCTCAGGAGACATCTATCGTGCTGCGTGGAAGAGGGCGCACCAATGCAACTTTACTGTTGACGCTGAAGACGAAGATGCTCACGGGAAGAGAGGTGGGAATGAAGGCGCAGAGGACAAGAGGATGGGTACGCATGGTATGGAGAGCTACTACGAGCAAAAGGAGGATAATGATACAGGAGGTCGAGAGAGTCGACGATTGAACGGAAGGCGACAGCGATGGAAACCGTAGAAGAGATCGCCAAGGAGCTGGTAATGATGAAGGCAAACTAGGGTGACGGAAGACAGAAGGCGTAATATCAAACCCAGGGTAATACTGCGCGCTAGCAAAACATCTAGAGTCATGTGAGGGTGAACAAGCAACATAAAATAGGTCAGCGATACCCATCGACCGCGTTTCATATTGTTGTATCCGCTGAAAAACAACCGGCTTTGTGCTGATTATACAAACAGGACAAGATGCACTGGTTGACCACAGCATCTCGAGATGGGGCGACCAAGCAGAGAATCCTGCCCTGCAACAAAGCCTTTAAGAACATCGCACAGCCAACACATCATGAACAGCATCATTGAAAAGAAGAGGATGAATTATCAATTAAACATCTAACCAAACTTTTCCCCTCCCCCCTTCTCTCCCCCTCTTCACTTCCCGCATCTAGTTCCAGCTGCAAGGGACCTGGATAACCCAATCCGGGTAAATCAAATCCTTGTTCGTGATGCGCGCAGAGTTCATCTGCTGCAGCTTGTCGGCCGTCGTGCAGAAGTCGTAGGCAATGCTGTTCAGCGTGTCGCCCGACTGAATCACGTACGCGCCGTCGGTCGCGCTGTTCTTGGCGCAGTCGCGCTGGCGGCCCGCGTTGTAGTGGCACGGCACCTTGAGGTTCATGCCCGGTTTGATGCTCTGCAGGTTGTTCCACGACTTGATGACCGCGGGGGAGGTGCAGAAGTCGGCCGCGATGGCGTCGAGCGAGTCCGAGGAGGTCGTGTAGTACCAGCCCTCGGAGGCGGCGGTGTGCTTGCAGGCGCGGCGCAGGCCGAGGGTGGAGCCGAAGGTGGCGGCGAGGACGAGGAGGATGTCGGAGCGCATTTTGGGCGTGTGTGTGTAAATGAGTGTGGTCAGGGTTGGAAATGAGTGTTGGTAGTTGGAGGTGGGTTGGGAAAGAAAGGGTCCTGGGGATGGAGGGCAAGGAGGATGCTCGCGATGTTTATATATATATCAGAATATTATTGAGCATGGACAGTCTTCGCCCAGCAACTCCCGTCTTTCGTATTGCCTGGATAGAGGGCCTCTCATTAAAGCTTAAACCACCAAGATGAAAAGCTTCAAGAATGTCAACATGCGCCCGCCCGCCCCCAAAAACCGTCCCATCTTGCGATGAACCCGTCGCACGGACTGCTCCGCCTTCCAGAATGCTACTCTATTAGACTTCGCGACAGCCCTACCGCTCATCTCCCGCCGGTCGGTTTCACCGTACCACAGGTGTGGGTGGGCTTGCCAACAGGTCTCATTTCTTCGCCTTGAGAATCTTCAAGACGGGCGCGACGGCTCGGTGACTGCGGTTCCTGGGCCACGCCAAACGCGCGCAAGATCGTCCTCCCCGGCTGGCGCTGACTCGTCGGTTCGGGTGCGCGTGTGGGGGAGGCATCCCGGAGCGGGCGGCCGGCACTGGACGGCGGACCATCGGGCGACGATAACTTCCTCACCAAGCGATGTGAGAGGCTGACCAGCGCTGTAGTTATGATGACCAGATGTGAAGACTCAATTCGGCTGCAGCGGCAAAGAGTTCTAGAACCTCTGCGCACGCTGGGTATGCGAGGCTGTCCGAGTCAACTCGGGTAATCGGAGCAGGCGACTTACTCGCGAAGGCCGTCACC